GGACGCTTCTGAGGCCGAGGAAAAATATTTTTTAGTACGGACGAACCTAAACGGCAAATAACGTGTTTATTTTTCTATTTGATAGTTTATGGTTATAATGAAATTCTGATAAAATTCTAGTTGCGAAGTACATTTGAGATCAATTGCGTTTGTTACTTTAGTGCAAGCATGGCGCGGCTGACAAACTGCTAACACGACGCGATAAAAACTGGATAAAAAGCTTTTAATTTCATTGCAATAGATGGTTTTCTACTCAACAAGAAAACAGAAGGTAAACTAAGTAAGAATATTTTTTTTCCAATTCGTTTTACGGCATGGACATGTTTCAAAAATGCTTTTTGACTGAAAAATACAAATTTTTGTTGCCGAAAAACAATTTGTTCATTACAACATTTACAAAAACAATTTTGACGAAAATAAGCCCAGGAATCATGTTTAAACTGCCAGTTAATGTATTTTTTTAATTTTATGTTTCAGGACAAGTTGTACGTTTTACTATTCATGTTTATACATATATTTCGAAGAATACCTGAATATATGTGGAACGTTTGAATAAAAAAACATGTAGCACTGCCCAGTGGGCAGTGTTTTTCGATGCTGAGTTTGAAAATTGTTTCCACTCTTCGATTTGGGGCTAAAAAATATCTCTTTTGGACCACGGTCAAGATATGGTAAAAAGGTGCCGGCTGCTGCAGCCAATCAAATTGCAGGAAATCAAAATTATCACTAGGCATGCACAAATAAAAAATTAATTCATATATTTCGTCCGCTAAAAAACTTCATATTGGTTCAACAATATTTCTCAGATTAAAACTTTGTGATATTGCTTTGTATTAACAGATTATAACTTCAAGCAGCCAACAAATACTGTCAAAATACAGTATGTGATACAAGCAAGTCGAACTGTCGAAATCATTATATATAATCTACAAAAATGTATGGAATATATACAGTAGAAAACACAAAAAAGGATTGTTCTTCCATACAGTACAAAGCCATAGAACTTGCTTTGGCGATTTATCAATATTAGCTAAATTAGTCAATATTGTCACCAATATTGGTTATTGATTCATTAGCAGATGACTTGAAAGTCCTACAGATATAGTTGTTTGACATTGAATAAATTTAGCTAACGATGGGGGGGGGGGAATGTTCAGACAGAATTTGTAAATGTTACTATAAGCGATGCAGAAATAGGTACGTCAAGCCAGCTACGAATGTGTTTTTGAAAACTGAGTCCAGTTTATCAGAAATCCACGCTTTTAAATTGATGCTATGGTGAAATGCCATGGAGAGTTTTGAAAGAAATCTTCTGGCATTTCACTATAGCATCAATTCCAAAAAGATTAATATTAAAAATAAAAAAAGAATAATAATAATAATAATAATCATAATCCTTGTATGAAAAAAGGTGCATGGTGGGCGAGAGGATGTTTCGGTCCCAAGTATCGCAAAAGTTAACATACGGAAAACTTGTAAAAGATTTGTTAATATTTTTCACAGCTTCTCAGATGGGGTGAGTATAAAGCATTCATTGTTGCGATCCTCCTGGAATTCAATATATTAAAATAGGATTGTTGACAGAGAACAATGAAATTGCGACTGATACTTTAATTAAAAACGATTGCAATTAATATTTTTCTCAACTAAAATCATGGATTTGACATAACTACGAGATTCCACGGTATACTCACCAATATTGGTACAGTTGCCAGTTTCTGAGCTGATGTATACATTTGCATAATTGACATTGCCCAAACTAAGCATAGAGGTGCGTATTTCCACCTACAATTATTAAGAAAAGGATTCGCAAATGACACTTTTCCCTGGCTTTTACAGAATTTCCCTTATAGTCCATTCATGCATATTCCCCTCTTACATTCCAATCATATTCTGGTCTTCATGCATATTGAAAATTTTCACTAAATGACTAAATTTATCTGGCACGTTATGCAGAATAATATAGCAAAGTCGAGAGCATTGATGGATTAGCAAAATAATGGGAATATTGGACCTGCTACTGCCCAACAACCTTCTCTTGAGGACAATAATAATTCTGCCCATAACGAGATAAATAGGATGCATTGAGATGCGTATCAATAACGGGTAGAAACAGCAAGTACAGTAGAGCCAGATAAGCTTATTCATTTGGATATTCATTCAGGTAAGCTTATTCATATGTTAATTAATATTAACTAATTGTTTTCTAATGAACCTATCAACTAAAACTGAATTACACTAACTTTAATTTATTTTATTTTTAACAGATACTGTAGGATTGGAACTGTCAATTTGTGTTTTATTAGTAATGCAAACTGTGCTTATCACAGGAAATGTATGGTCGAATATCCTTATCACAGGAAACTTATGTTTTTAAGACTGTTGGGTAGCCTAGTTAATTACGTTTTCGCATGGAAAAAGCACGCTTAGCTCCAGAACTTGGCAGTATGGTTTGAGACACTCGTAAAGAGAGGACAGTCAGAGAGAGAGAGAGAGAGAGGGATAATTCACGTTAAAAGTTAAAGAGCTACTGGGAAAACATTTGTAAGTAACAATTTATTTGTATCTTGCAGTTTATTGTTTAGTTGCGTTAGTGCTAAGTTACGTATTTAATATTAATTTATATAGGTTTATATTAATTTCCATTTAGTAGAAACACGTTTCACGTTACACGCTATAGTTTCGCGTTTATATTATGCCTACAAGTTTTGGTTATTATGCGATTACATTTGAGTCTGTGATCTATGGCGTCATATTTCCGCCAAAATTAATTAAAGATCGTATTTGCAACATTATAGTTCGTATTCGCAATTTTATAGTTCGTATTCCCAACATTATAGTTTGTATTCGCAACTGTAGTTCGTATTCGCAACATTATAGTTCGTATTCGCAACATTATAGGTCGCATTCGCAACATTATAGTTCGTATTCCCAACATTATAGTTTGTATACGCAACTATAGTTAGTATTCGCAACATTATAGTTTGTATTCGCAACTTTATAGTTCGTGTTCGCAAAATTATAGTACGTATTCGCAACATTATAGTTCGTATTCCCAACATTATAGTTCGCATTCCCAACATTATAGTTCGTATTCGCAAGTTGAATTTTGGCGGATGAAGGTGACAAATCTCCGCCAAAATTCAAGTTTGTAAATTATAGTTCATATTTGGAAAAATTCGCTACAAGTGGAAACACTGAAAAGCAACAGTGCTTGGGGCTTGGATTCTCTCATCCAGCTGCGATTTTATAATGTTATCTTTTGGCAATTTGCCTATTAAAAATGAATCAAACGATATAAATACGGCGAGGGAAGCACTTTTGCAGGTGGCAGACTGCCTATACGTGTGATTTTAGGCCTCAGTACACGATACCGGATTCGCATCGTACAACGTTTCATATTTGAAGTTTTTGACTAATTCTGTTCTATTATCTACCCTGGATTCCCGAGCCTTCAACAGTAACTAATAAATTGAAACGTCGCGAAGGCTCTGGTTCAATGGGGATATTCTTTGATTACACCGCGCCAATCACAAAACAGAATTAGTGGTTTTAGTACAGATTCTGTAGCCTACTATTCTTTCTAACGTCATGTTGAATCCCATGCGTACCTTGCAGTGGTAAGGGGGCGGACCATAATGAATTTTGAGGGGGGGGGGTTGGAAAATTTCGAAAAAAAATTTCCTGCAATCTAAGGAGAAAGAAAAAAAATCATGCAGCATATAATCGAGAAAAAAAATATCATGCAAAAGAGAGCGTTCAAAAAAATTCCTACATGTAAATCTACTGACGTTCTTCACTTCAATATTGTGTCCACAGGCTTGCAAGATTTTGCATTTTTGAGCAGGCACATTTGCTTAAAAGAACACCGGGTGAACAGTGGACAACATCACAGGGATTCTACCGCCTTTGGACTTTGGAGCCTATAACATAGGATAGCCAGTGGTGTTACCTGGCAAAATTGTTGTCCCCCCTGAGAAAACCAGGGCTTAAGATATGTACAAGTTTATAAATTATTTATACATATCGAATATGCATGGTAGAAAAAGTATTTTTGGATGGTTGAGTCAGTTTGTGTTTTTTCAGAACATAGCTCCAAACTATTAAAGCTTCAAAGGCCCATCTACAGTATGCAAGCTAGTTGAACGTACTGTATGTACGATGATTTTAATGCGAAAATGCCAGTTTAGAGAGTCTAGATTTTAAAAAATTTTTGAAAAGGATGCAACCCGATCCCCAACAAGCTATCTGTATGAACGATTGAAAAGCTACAGAGCGATATTTGGGGGAACCATATAAGATATCAATGGGTGGAACATTGTTGTTTCGGAGGGCAGTTAAAAATCGCATTATTGAAATCTTGTTTTATTGCATATTAATCAAAGCTCACTTTGTGATTTTCCCTTGTTTAAAATAAAGGACAGTAAGTCTTCCTTTAGCCTACGGTATAGACCCCAGCAGAAACACGTTTCGTGAGGGGTCTGAACGACCCTTTATTTCTAGGTACGTTTGAACTGTTTTCCTAAGTTACCTCAATATCGGTCTCATATTGTGCTCACCTGTGAGCTTTATACCATCTTGCTTTCACTGTGCACATAAAAATGGTGTTATAGTTTACAGATACTTATACATGCAGGCCTGCTTAATGATGGCAATTGCTCAATAATCCAGTGTGAAACCAAAGGAGAAAACGCGTACTAAATTATGCCAATTTATACTGAATATTTGTTCTATACATGTACATGTAGGCCTATTGGTCTTTTTATTGTTTTCACAGCTGGTCCTGTTAAAGCAATTCATATTTATTTCTCTTATGTTACAACACGAAGAAATATATTTACACTAGAATAACCTTTATTTGATAGTTCTACCAGCTATGCATTACTACCAAATTAAGGCCAACTACGTACATCGTTTAATTTATTCTTTAGGTGTTACTACAGTATATAGGAAGAAATGGCTTGATAAACCTGCGCTGTTGGGTCGTGTACATGCTTTACGCTCGACTGAAACGATTCATTCTTCCGCGCGAATGTCGATTACTATACACGGAATAGATTAAAAATTAACTTTTAACAAACAAACGGTTCACCTGATTGAAACCACTTTTATGAGACAGTAAAATATTTACTGTGCGCCATTTTCCTCGTTCCTGATTAACATTGTTAGTCCATAATGGCAGCAATTGATTATTATTTGAAATTCTAATGAATACAAACGGTCTCCTCTCGCCGAAATTACTGTCTGATGTTGCGGCATATTGGAGAGTAAAGCAGGCATTGTGTTCAGAAATTTTTGGACTTCTTAATGTTGGAAAAGAGATATCATCGTTTCTAATAGTGTACTGATTTAGACCTATAAAATGGAAAACATAAGCGATATTAGCATGCACATGGACGACCATGGTCGTCTGATTTACATTTTGATGGAGTTTTCTGTCACCACCTGGCAACTGGCATTTTCATAAACCTTGAACATTTGTGAACAAGATTACCTTTGCAACATTGATTCGTGGCTTTATAGCAAAAAGATTATATAATTTTGCACAATAACTTGCTGTTGGCTATGTAGCTAACAATTAAAAAGAAACAGAGCAAACCATATTATACAGTATGTAACTTTTCGGGGAGTATACAGGTAGTAAGAATTTTGAAGCCGATTTTTGCATGTGACAGTAAGAGGTGTTTATATAAGATGATACGCTTATTTAAGCTCCATCAAGATGTCATAAAGTGATTGGTTAGTCGCAAGAATGAAAGAAAATAAAATTAAGGAATACATTTGCTAAAATCCCAGACACAAACACGTATACCATTTGTTTAATTAAGGAAGATAGTCACAAAATATTTTGGAATGCCCAACTATTGCATGAAAGATGAACATCTTTGCATGGCACCATTTAAGACTTTTGCACACTTAGTTACTTACCGGTGTGAAATTCGGCCTTTGTGTTTCCAACCAATTCCCACCCGCAAGTGCCATTGTTGAATGTACAGTTAAAGCTTTTTCTCTCTAGATTTGAAATAGCAAAGGAAAATGGGATGAAGAACTTAAATACACTTACTGCATGGAAATACTTTCTGCTCTAAAGACATTCTTTTCAGTCACCAAGAATGCTTGCTGCCGCAGGTGTCTGAGCAAGCGCCTTCCACCTCTGAGATCGTGAGTTCGATTCTCGCTACAGACTGATGTGTCAAGAGTGTGTCAACACTCTACCGCAGGTCGAGGGTTTTCTCCGGATGCTCCTATTTTCTCTCGCAGAGTTAGGAAAGTAATATTTCAATTGCTGTAAAGATAAATAGTCAAGGCTAAGTAAATAACGTAAGTAATCGCAATACTTGATGTAATAGGTATATAACATGCACCGAAGCAAGTAACAAACGTAAAGCCTCATTAGTGAACGAGACAATCGTCAAAACTGCAGTTCCCTATTGGCTGACAGCACTGGATCCGTTCTCACCGTAGAATTCGAATGACGAGCTGGTAAAGTTTGGCATAATTTATTCGCACGAAAGTTGGGCAGGTCGTGTGTTGGTGACTTACATAGGATTGCTTACGTATACGGAACCTAAGCGCAAAAGTTGCATGCATGAGATGTTATATGGTCGGCGATGTATCTACATCTACATTTTATTAAGTCGGTAAAAATCGGACGATTATCGCACCAACTATAACAATACAAAATACAAATTCAAAAAACCTAACTGCAACTATCTCAACCAATCAATAATAAAATATTACTTAATAAAATTCTTGAGTTCACTCTGGAAAGTATCTAGAGTTTCTGATAAAACTAATTCCTTTGGAAGACTGTTCCACTCAGTTAGCGTTCTAGGATAGAAAGAATATTTAAAAATGTCCTTTGTAGCTCGAGGTACTCTATATTTGAACGTATGACTATTTCGTGTTCTTGTTTCTTGACTTGGAACCAGCACGTTTTCCGTGTTCAAGTTAAGTAGACCACGACTTAACTTGTACATCATACATAGGCGCGTACGTTTCCTTCTTGTTTCCAATGTATCCCAATCCAGCTCTTTCAGCATGGCTGATACGCTAGCTGTTCGATCGTAATTTTTTAAACAGAATCGTGCCGCTGATCTCTGAACTCTTTCAACAGCAGCAACATCTTTCTTATAGTAAGGGTCCCATGCTGTAGACGCATATTCAAGCGTTGGTCTTACAAGACTTTTATAAGCAACTTCCTTGACATCTCTTGGACAGTTCCATAGGTTCCTCTTGATAACATGTAATACGACATTTGCCTTCCGAGTGGTGTTAGATATATGAGATGACCATTTCATTTTATTATCAAACATCACCCCGAGATATGGATGGTCTTCGACTTCTTCCAGTATTTGGCCACAGAACATATACTGTTTCTTTATGATATTCTTTTTAGTTGTAATGCACATCACTTTACACTTGGTCGAATTAAACTCCATTTGCCAGCGGTCTTGCCACTCCTCTAATTTACACAAATCAGCTTGAAGAGAATCTGCATCTACATCACTTTCAATAAAACAGTACAGCAGGGCATCATCGGCAAACAGTCTTACAGTAGATTTCAATTCTTCAGCCAAGTCGTTTATATACAGTAGAAACAAAACAGGACCAAGAACTGTGCTCTGCGGTACGCCAGAAGTAACTGTAATAGGAGTTGATGTCGCGCCATCACATACCACAACTTGACTTCGATCTATAAGAAACGACTTAAACCATTCTTGAAGTGGATCCCGAATCCCATAGTACTCCAACTTCGTCAATAATCTCTGATGAGGGACTTTATCAAAAGCTTTTGAGAAGTCTAAAATAGCCAAATTTGCTTGTTTGTTTTGTTGAATAGCATTAGTAATATCATGAGTAGTGCATATCAGTTGAGTTTCTGTGGATCGTTTAGCCCGGAAGCCGTGCTGATTATCAATGAGTATGCGATGCCTTTCGAGATGCTTCATTAAGTGGCTATGCACAATATGTTCTAAAACCTTACTAGCGATGCAGGTTAAAGATATCGACCGATAGTTTCCCGGGTCACACTTTTTCCCTTTTTTAAATACCGCACATACATTGGCTTCTTTCCATTTGCCAGGTAAGCTACCGCTACTAATTGATTCCTGGTAGATATCTGTCAGAATCGGTGCTATTTGACTTGCTTTTTCTTTTAGAAACCATGGTGGAATTCCATCCGGTCCACTTGCTTTCTTTGCATCTAAGGATGCTAGTTGTTTCTCGACTCCTTTCACCGTGATCACAATATTACCAATGGCAAGCGTGAAGTTACTTCCTGGAGTTGGTATATTCTCGACATTTTCTGTCGTGAAAACACTAGCAAATTGTTTACTAAGTACCTCAGACTTTAAACCGGCATCGCTGATGAGTTCATTATCCATTTTAAAATCTTCAACGCCTGGGTTGTCTTGTCGTAATCTCTTGATATAGGACCAAAAGGCCTTAGGATTTTCTTGCATAGTATCAGTTAAATAACCAGACAAATATGTATCCCTAGCACTTTTCAAGTTCTTACTCAGTTGTTTCTTAGCCGTCTTAAACTTAGACCAGTCAGTTTCTTTTCCCGACTTTTTAGCTTTGTTATATAACTTTTGTTTGATTCGGGATTATAACGCGATGATGTGTATTTGCATCGTATGCAAGAATTCATTATGTTTTGAATACCTTGTTGAAACGCATCCCACTTAGTATCAAGGGACTCCTACTTCACTGAACACTCAAAGTTATTAGCCAATTCACGTAGCTTTTGCTGTATTAGTTCTTTGTCTGCCCGCTTCCGGATGAATATTTTTCGCTTCACATACCTTTTCTTTTTACAGTTTAAGTTAACCTGGAAATAAACAACATCTTGATCGCTAATTTTCCGGGAGTACTTTGACGTTGTTGATAATGTTTTCGTTATTCGTAAAGATCATGTCTAGTATATTGTGTGTTTCTCCCTGACTCCTTGTTGGCTCTTTAACCATTTGGTTAAGTCCATGTTCGTTTATAATTTCGAGCAATCTATCAGAATGAACAGAAGCCTTTACTGGAGCATAATCTTTCCAATCGATATTAGGTGCATTGAAAAAAGCGAATTATTCAGTTCATCAAGGCTAACCATATCTGTCATATTCGGCCGATAATATGAAGCAAAGAAAATAGACTTTGATTTCCGGCTTTTAATTTGACATTGTGTCCATACAATTTCACAATCTGTATCAAACTCCGAGCGTTCAGTAACTAAGATATCTTTTTTCACTGCCTGAAAAACGCCCCCGTGGCGGTCGGTAGTTCTATCTTTCCTAAATATATTATAATTATCTGGGAATATTTCATTGCTAGCTATTCCGGAGTGAAGCCAAGATTCATTACCAATAATTATATCTGGTTCGTGTTTATCAATAATGGCCTCAAATTCAGCAACTTTATTCCTTACGCTTTGACAATTCACTAGTAAACAAGCTAATTTGCATTTGTTCGCTCGAGGCTTCATTCCCTGGAAAACTAGCACGCATAGTAAACTCTATAGTTCTATCATTCCAGAGGCGTAGCCAGGGCTAGGGCAGGGGGCCGCCTCCCCCTCCCCGGCAAAATTTTGCCCCCCCTGATCAAATGTATTGTATAAAAAAGGAATCCTTGATTATATAGCTTCATGCTGTCACAATAATGCAAAATTCTGGTTAGCACTAAAAGGCGGAATGCTGGAACATGGAACGCTGGAACATGGAATGGTGGAACGCTGGAAAGTGGAATGCTATTATTTTACCTTTTTTGTTATCTATCAATATTTTGAGTTGATTTGCGTATAAATACGCGCTCGCATAGACAGCAATGAAGAAAACGTACTATAGCATTTCTGCAATTTGCGAATATTTCCCAGTCAAGAAAAAACAACAGAATTACGCAATAATTATAATTTATAAAGAAAGAAAGAAATACGAGGTACAGTGGCGTAGGTAGGCTGGTTTTGTAGGGGCTTGGGGAATGTCTGTAAAATGAAGTCTAAAAATAGAATTTCTACCCTTTCTGGGGGCAAATTCAAGAAATTGAACGGCAAAAATATCGACAACAGAATATTTTATTTTTTTCTAAATATGCTATGCGTATATTTGTAATCAATTCAGCTAATTTAGCCCTATTTGCAAAGTGATAGGGCGGTTCCTACGCCACTGCATGGTGGTAAGAGAGAATTGTGAGGTATAATTATGCAGTCAGGTTCAGGCAGAAAATATAATCAGACTTCTCATTAAGGCTATGTCCCCTCTCTTCATTACTAGATACCATTTTCTTACCGTGTTTTGCCAAATTTTGTCGTTTTGCTACTGCATGAGTCGCTCGCGAAAGAGGCGAATTAATGAACATTGCAGTTTATTTTTACGCATGGCAATGTTAGAAAAAAATTATTAAGCATAGTCTTGTCGATATTCCTGCTGTTCAATTTCTTAAATTTGCCACCAGATAGTGTAGAAATGCTATTTCTAGACTTCATTTTTCAAACTTGCCCGAAACACCTACTTGTTCTCACACGAAAGCCCTGGGAAAGAGGTTTAGCCTCCTACAAAACCAGCCCACAATTTCAACCCTCCTATCTTTAAACATCTTCCTACGCCACTGTACCTCGTCGTTCTTTCTTTTTTATAAATTATAATTATTGCATAATTATGTTGTTTTTCTTGACCGGGAAATATTCGCAAATTTTAGAAATGCTGTAATAAGTTTTCCTCATTGCTGTCTATGCGAGCGCGTAGTTATACCAAGCAAATCAACTAAATTATTGATAAATAACAAAAAAAGGTAAAAAGTAGCAAAAAAAGGTAAAGAATAGCATTCCACGTTCCGGCGTTCCATGTTCCACCGTTCCGCCTTTTAGTGCCAACCAAGAATTCTGTACTGAGAATATATGCTTTGCAAATATATGCATCGGTGTGAAACCTAAAATCTTGTTTGCTTATTTTGGGCACACAGCTTGAAACACATTAAATGAGGGTTAGATGATGTTTAAATAAATCTGGTTTTTTTTTATAAGTAGAGCCTGCCCGAAAGCCCTAGTCAAACTGATACCGCCTACTTTGTTAATATTCCATATTAACACCACCCACTCCAAATAGTTTTGTATAAATGATGACTTGAAATGTCATTGCATATTTACTATAGCCTGCGCTACATGCTTTCAATAAACTTTTTACAATAGATGTATAGCGATTCAACTGCCTGGAAATACAAGCAAAACGTCGGCATTTCGAGCGAAGGCCCTTCGACTTTTTCTGGAAATTAATAGTAGACGAAGACCGTTCAAAATTATATTATGCTTTGCACCTGTATGGCTGTACTACAGTTATAAATATTGCAGTATTAAATATAATAAATGACTTAGGAAAAGTAAATAGAACCCTTCTCGTGTTATACACGTTTTAAAATCTCCAAAGAGAGCTTCGTATTATTATAGTGTATTAAACACAATGGGGAATGTATTATTTTATATAATCGTAATTTGCCCGCCACCAAAATATAAACAAGGCAAGGACAGCCAAGGTTTTATACTCTATACTATAGTGACCATACGCTAAAAACATACGACACATGCAGTAATTAATAGCAGTATGGCTTGGCTTATTCTGTTTATTTCAGAACCATCCTCAGAGATACGAAAAACTGGTTTCATATTAATTTGACACTGCAATCGAGCAACGAAAAATTCGTTAGCTCGAGCGGGATTTGAACTCGCATCTTCGGGTATCTAGACCGCCGCTCTACCTTTTATATTGAGCTATCGAGTCAACAGGGATTGGTAGCGAGTCTTATCCAATTTAAGTGCACGAAATATTTTCGTGACGACTTAACGCTTGAGGAACGCGCAGTGTTTCAATTGTCAGATTAATCCCGAGCC